GATAATCTGTTATGTTATAGCATATCCTTCCCAATGTATTGCCTTAATTTTGTTTTCGTATGTGTATGTTACCACATTTTACATCATGGCAAATTTCATGTAATTATGTGCTTCAGGTCTGCAACCAAAGATTCATTAATAATCATAGATGAATTGGGAAGAGGCACTTCTACCTACGATGGATTTGGGTTAGCATGGGCTATATCAGAATATATCGCAACAAAGATTGGTGCTTTTTGCATGTTTGCAACCCATTTTCATGAACTTACTGCCTTGGCCAATCAGATACCAACTGTTAATAATCTACATGTCACAGCACTCACCACTGAAGAGACCTTAACTATGCTTTATCAGGTGAAGAAAGGTATGTACTACTAGTGTACTGTAAATTCAGAATGTGATAATGGGAAACTTACTACCCTTGAAATCATTAGTAATTGCTTTATTCTAAGTTAGTGTAAATTGTTGATGTTTTTATAGAACCCATTTAACCCTTAATTCATAGTCTGGGGCCTGGAACATAGTATATTGTATTTCCGTATCTCATACTAGAACCACTCATTCTAAAGCATTCATAGAATAACCTGTACTCTTCTTTTATTTATTTTTTATTATTATTTTTTAAGATGAGGTTTCACCATGTTGGTCAGGCTGGTCTTGAACTCCCGACCTCAGGTGATCCGCCCGCCTTGGCCTCCAAAGTGCTTGGATTACAGGCGTGAGCCACCACACCCAGCCAAATAATCTGTACTCTTGAACATCTCACGGAGGGATTTTCTGCTACTTCCCACTGCAGAATGTTTTCTTGTTGGATTATGATAACAAATACTTTCAAGTTCCAAAGTTCTAGCTGTTATTGTTTAATAAAACCTTCATTGTAATTGGCTTATTTTATGTTTAAGAGTGTTATAGAAACAGGTTCATTTAAAGCTGGGGATTCTAGAAATCTTGAAATAGTAGTTACCACATGCAGAATGACTTATTCATTGTTATTTCATCCTTGCGGGAAAGTTTGTCATTCATGGGGTTGGCATCTAGTCAGATCCGTGTGTTGATGAGATTAACATAAGGCTTTTAAAGGTTTTGAAAATCATACTATAAGGATTGATTTCACCATCCTGGTCAACGTGGTGAAACCCCGTCTCTACTAAAAATTACAAAAAAATTAGCTGGGCATGGTGGCGCGTGCCTGTAATCCCAGCTACTCAGGAGGCTGAGGCAGGAGAATTGCCTGAACCCAGGGGGCGAAGGTTGCGGTGAGCCGAGATCACGACATTGCATTCCAGCCTGGGTAACAAGAGCGAAACTCCGTCTCAAAAAAAAAAAAAAAGGATTGATTTCACTATTCACCAGAATAACTTTTTCAGATGGCTCTCTGATTTTCCACTAACACATTTTTCTGCATCAGTTGGTTGCACATGAATGAAATAATCTTGTTTCTTTATCCTTTGTTACTTAAACTTCGTTGGGAATCCTTTTGAGTTACTGTGTTTGCATCATTATTATTGCTGTAGAATTCAGGAACTTTTAGATCTGGCAGTTACCATGAAATTTTGCTTTTAAATCATTGTGTTTTGTATGCTATAGAAATGGGTTCAGAATATTTTTTAAAAGGTCAGATGAAGTGAAGATAGAAAAAAATTTATCCTTTACTGTGGATGTTTAACAAACATTTGCTTCTACTTTGTTTTTGTTTGCTTCCTTTAGTTGTGCGAAGTATCCAGTTCTAGAATGTATGGGATATATGATGAAGCCAAACATTTTTTTACAGTTGATAAATAATTGTGGCAAAACATCTCTATAACTTTGCAAGCATCATTTGATTAAATGATTTAAAAAGTCTTAACTCAGTTTTAACTATTTCCTGCAAATAATAAATCAGTATTTTTAATTAAATGCTACTGGAAATTAGTGACACACCTCCCTCCCTTTGCTCCCTGCCTCCCTTCCCTCCCCCTCCTCCTCCCCTTCTTCCCTTCCTCCCTCCCTCCCTTCCTCCCTTCCTTCCTTCCTCTTTAGTTTCTCCCTCATGAAATGAGAAAACCTCAGAGATACTGGCTTGATTAATTTTTCTTCAGATTAAGATGTATTTGTCTAAGCCTTTGAGGATTATCTACTGAGATTTTTTTGCCTATTTTTATTTTTCCTACTATGTTTGTCCAGGATAAAATACAGCACTGTGTGCCAAGTCATAATTACTTTTCATTTGAGACTTAATTAAAATTCCTACTCTGATTCATTTGGCTAATGTATTTGAAATAATCCAAAATTAAGTTTTCTAATGACAAGGTGAGAAGGATAAATTCCATTTACATAAATTTTTGTCTCTTCTCGTGCTGTCCCCTCATGCTTCCCCAAATTTTTTATAGGTGTCTGCGATCAAAGTTTTGGGATTCATGTTGCAGAGCTTGCTAATTTCCCTAAGCATGTAATAGAGTGTGCTAAACAGAAAGCCCTGGAACTGGAGGAGTTTCAGTATGTTGGAGAATCACAAGGATATGATGACATGGAACCAGCAGCAAAGAGGTGCTTTCTGGAAAGAGAGGTTTGTCACTTTGTTTTCATAGTTTACCTTAGCTTCTGTAATATTACATAAACCAGGACACTAAGATGAGGGTTTTTTTTCCCCTTTGTGTTTCTAGTGTTTATTTTTTTTAAATAATTTATTTGATGGCAAAGAATCCATCTCTGTGTCATTTTGATTTCTGCATGATCAAGATATGATTTCAAGTACTATAGTAGGAGTAAAGGAATATTAGCTAACCTAGGTTTAAAATTAGTCATTTCACTAAAATTAGTTATTATGGACCATAGATGTCTAGGTACATCTTTGTTCATAAATGAATATGTCAAGTTCATCCATTACATTACATATTAGGTAAGAAAAGGGCAAATAAAAAAGCATGATTCATAATTTCTGTCCTCTCTTTGTTTAGAATTTAGTTGGGGAGATAAGAATAATGAATGTGACACAGAGAATGGCATATGACCATTTTTATTTAAGAAAGCCATTTGTGGACAGGTTGTTTCAGTTCTCATGGGAGAAGTGGATTTTATGCTGGCTTTTCTTTGAGTAGTGGGTCATATTTGGATGTTCACATAGAAAGACCCAAGTACATGCCTTTTTTTTTTTTTTTTTTTTTTTTTTAATTAGAGGTTTATTAGTTCTCTTCAATAATAAAAAAGAGTCTTATTTCACTGCCTGGTCCTGGCAACATTTACTGCAATATGCATTGTGACAACTTTTTTTTTCTTTGTTTGTTTGTTTGAGATGGAGTCTCGTTCTGTCTCCCAGGCTGGAGTGCAGTGGTATAACCTCTGCTCACTGCAACCTCTGCCTCCTCAAGCAATTCTCCTGCCTCAGCCTCCTGAGTAGCCGGGACTACAGGTGCATGCTACCACGCGTGGCTAATTTTTTGTATTTTTAGTAGAGACGGGGTTTCACCATGTTAGCCAGGAAGGTCTTGATCTCCTGGCCTCATGATCCACTGGCCTCATCTCCCCAAAGTGCTGGGATTACAGGCATGAGCCACCTCGCCTGGCCCATTGTGACAACTTGTTACTCGTTATGTTTTTAGCTTTTACCTGTATATTTATTATCATTGTTCTTATTTGAAGGATAGATAGTTACTACGATAATAATAGAAGATGTGTACTTTTTAGGCTCAAAAGCCTAAAAAATACAGTTTTATCTGTTGTACCTATACAAGCAGGAGAAATATAACTTGTTAATAATTTTAGGTATGGCAGGTTGCCATCCCAAATATAAAGTGGTCTTTTGTATTAACACTTTAATGTGTCGAAAATCATAGCTTTCAGTGATCCAGGATTAGACAGACTCTTTTATATAATCCCTTGTTTCCAAATAGAAAACAAGTCATGTACTTTTGATAACATTAGTTATAGTGTATTTTGAGCCGTGTGAGGCTGGTAACATTATTTCTACTTTATGAATGAGGAAAGTGTGTTAAGGAATTTACCCAAGAGTCACATAGCAAGTAATAATCATGCTCTCTGAAACAGCAATAACTTGGCAATAAAACAAAAATGAAGCATCTTCTGTATGTGTTAACTTTTCAGTGACTGTTTATGCCTTCCAGTATTCTTTGTAAACCTTGAATTCTTTTTTTCACAGAGGATTAAGTTTATGTATCAATTATAAAAGCGGAGGAATTTAGGAACTAGACAGTGTACACATAAATAATAAATATGTTCTTTAAATATTGGGTAGGCTGATGTGGGAGGAGTTCAAGCCCAGCCTGAGCAATGTAGTGAGACCCTCGTCTCTAAAAAAAAAAAAAAAAAGGAAAAAAGAAAAGGTTGATGTGTCTAGATGAAAATGAAACAATTTGTTGCTTTCTAACATGACTTTTAGAAAAGACATTTTAATTACTAATGGGACATTCACATGTTTTTCAGCAAGGTGAAAAAATTATTCAGGAGTTCCTGTCCAAGGTGAAACAAATGCCCTTTACTGAAATGTCAGAAGAAAACATCACAATAAAGTTAAAACAGCTAAAAGCTGAGGTAATTGCAAAGAATAATAGCTTTGTAAATGAAATCATTTCACGAATAAAAGTTACTACGTAAAAAATCCCAGTAATGGAATGAAGGTAATACTGATAAGCTGTTGTCTGTAATACTTTTATATTGTTTTATATTAACCCTTTTTCCATGGTGTTAACCCTCAGTGCTCATGGGTTATCAACTTAATAAGATATTTAGTAATATTTTGCTCTGAGGACATTTTCAAAGATCTTTATTTTGAAAAACGAGAGCTGTAACTGAAGACTGTTTAAATTGACATAGGCAATAATAAGTGATATGCTGAATTTTATAAATAAAATCATGTAGTTTGTGGAATTTAAGATGCATTGTAGTTCTTTGCAGTGTGACATCTATACGTATTTGTTCCCAAATATTTTGGAAGAAACAAGTAGCCCAGATTCCTTTTAAAGATCTTATACTGGAGGGCTCCATGGAGATGATTGCAAGTGACTCCTCGGAGTGTCCATCTGTTGGCAGGAGCCAGGTTGGCTGCATATGCATTAGCCAAGGAGCTTATTATACATCCAGAGTCCTACCATGAGCCTCCATTCCTTCTGCCATTCTCCCATCCCTGGTTTGTGAATGAAACATAGAAATCTGGGTTTAAACAAAACCTTTCAGGTTGGGAAACGTGATTTAGCCTACTTCTATTTTACAGTAAAGAGATGAAGGGGTTAAGAATTAGCAGCTAATCCCATGCAATGTGAGGGAAAAAGGACCGTCTTTTTAAAAAGCACAGTGTGCTGGTGGGGTATCTGTATAGGAAAAAATGAAATTGGACCCCTACTCCATGTTATATATAAAAGTCACCTCCACTTTGGGAGGCCAAGGTAGCCAGTCACTTGAGCTCAGGAGTTCAAGACCAGCCTGGACAACATGATGAAACCCCATCTCTACAAAAAAATACAAAAATTAGTGGGGCATAGTGGTGCATGCCTGTAGTCCCAGCTACTCAGGAGGCTGAGGTGGGAGGATCACCTGAGCCAGGAGAGGTTGAGGGTGTAATGAGCTGTGATGATGCCACTATACTCCATCCTGGGCAATACAGTGAGACTCTTAAAAGGAAACAAAAAATCACCTCTGCTGATTTTTTTTTAGACCAAATTTACAAGGTGACACTATCAAGTTTTTAATGTTTTATAGTTCTGTAGAAGATAACAGGAAAATATTTTTATATCCTTGACTTTGAGAAGAATTTAAGTCATAGAAAAACACCATCCATAAAGTTTGACTTATTTAACTAATTGAAATTAACTTCTATTAAAAGGCACCACAAAGTGAAAAGACATAATTCACAATGGAAGGACATACTGGTACCATATAAAATATCAAAGAGCTGGGCACAGTGGCTCATGCTTGTAGTCCCAGCTGTGCAGGAGGCTGAGGCAGGAGGATCACTTGAGCTCAGCAGTTCAAGTCCAGCCTGGGCAATATAGCGAGATGGCATTTCTTCTTCTTTTTAATACCTGGAATAAATAACTCCTATATAAAATCACTAAGAAAAGGGGTCACTCAAGAGTCTCAATAACGAAAAGAATCAATATTTTTCCAAGGAAGATATGCAAAGGGACAGTAAGCACATGAAAAGATGCAGATCAGGGAAATGCAAGTCGAAACCACAATGAGCTGCAACTTCACACTGATTACGACATTTAAAATCAAAAAGTTAGATGGTAAGTACTGGCAAGGAAGTGGAGAAATTGGACTCTCATGCACTGCTGGTGGGAATGTAAAATGGTGCAGTTGCTTTGGAAAACAGGCTGGCAGTTCCTCAGAGAAACAATTCCACTCCAATGTGTATATTCAAGTGGAGTCAAAACATATGTCCCCACAAAACTTGTACACAAATGTTTATAGCAGGATTATTCATAATAACCAAAAGGTGGAAACAGCCCAAATGTCCATCTGCAGATAACTGCATAAACAAAATGTGGTCTATCCATACAATGGAGTATATTATTCAGCCATGAAAGGAATGAAGGACTAGTACATGGTGCAAGTTAGATGAACATTGAAAACACTGCTAAATGAAAGAAGCTGGTTATAAGAATCTACACGTATGATTTCATTCATGTGAAAGTTCAGAATAGAGAAAGCAGTAGACAAAGCAGTTTAGGGTTGGTGCAAGGGAATGGGGGTGGGTGGGGTGAAAGCTAAAGGATACGGTGGTTCTTTGTGATATGGAAGATACAAAATTGGTGATGTTTATACATGTCTGAATATACTAAAAACCATTGAACTGTACACATTAAATGGATGAATTGTATGGGAATTATATTTTAATAAAGCCATTTTTAAAAATTCAAACACTTCACCCAAGAGGAAATCTAAGTGGTCCATAAACATGAAAAGGTCTTGAATCACCAGTCAAAAAAATGAAAACCGTAACAGGCCACCCCCAACCTCCCCACCTCCCAACACCACAGTGACAAGTATTTTAAGTGTGGCAGTTCCAGCTGTTGGTGAGGATGTGGAGTAACACTGCTGGGGGTGTTAATATTATCTGGTGAAATTGAAAATACGCATACAACCCAGCAATTCCGCTCTTAGGTGCATACTCTAGAGATGCTTTTGCACGTTGTGCTGCGAGATGTATACAAAAATGTTCCTAATACCCCCACACTGGAAACAACTCAGCAGTGAAAATCAACTACAGCTACACAAAATAACATGGATTATTTGATACAAAAAGGATGAGTTTTTTTCCCATTTATGTTAAGTTTAAGAATAGGTGGTATGGTTTAGGGATGCAGTCATGGGGATGGCAACTGTAAAGAAAAGAAAGTGATTGTCTCAATCAGGAGAGTCATTGTCTTTGGGGAAATGGGGTGCTGTTGGGGACAGAGGACGTTAGGGCCTCTGGAGGGCTACAATTCTGGTTTTTGACCTGAGTAGTGGTTTTGCAGGTGCTTGCTTTATAGTTAACTGCAATTTTTTTTTTAATGAAGTTAAAGTTTGATATGAGAAATGTATGGCCAATGAGTCCTTTCACATGCTCAGTTTGCCAAGTTCTTTTTCCTCATTGTTAATTTAGAGTGGGTTACATCCGTTTTTCTTTTCTGGCCACCAAAAGCTTAAGAAAAAGGCAGACTTACAGAGGAAGATTTTAAATGTGGAAATACATTGGTTTACAAATCGTTTAATCACTTATACGTGAAAAGCTTTTATATAATTCAAAAAGCAAATTTCAAATTCCAGTGAAACATTTTATCCCCTGGTTAGTTGTGAAAGCGTGCTTTTAGATTGCTGCACAGAAGCATGTTTAACATGGAAATCAGCTCATGATTTTAGTTGTAAGGGTTACAAGAAATTGGGGGAGACTGTTGATTCCAAGAAAACATGTAGTCTATCAGGCTGCTTTCATTTCTCTAAAAGAGACAGTGTTCTAAGATGTTTTTGAAAATGAGAAAATACAAAATAGATCTGCCTAGGAAGTTTAAGACTTAATCTGTGCTTATTACATGAATATGCTAATGAAAAACCAGACCTTCAATTAGCGTTTCCTTCCTTTTAGAATGGTGTATGTAAAGGAAATATAATTTCTGACCTGTCAAAGGTTTTCCTTAAAATTTTAATTTATAATGTGGTTTGGTTTTTCTTTCCCACTCAAACATGAATTTGGGTAATACCAGAATAAAGCTGAATATACAACTATTATCCAAGATTTAGAACTCTACTGTTAAGAAATCTGTTGACCACATAACCATGTTTCTGAGAAAATATATGATTTTTTTCATCTTTAAAAAAATTAGCACTAAGAAGCTAAGATGTTCTTATAATATGATTTTTTTTTTCTTAAAATACTATTTTGGAGTTAAAAGTTGTAAAAAAAAAACTGATATAAGGAAGATGTTTTAGGGTAGATATATTTAAGTCTTGTCTCATACTCTATTGACTAAGCTAGCCTGGTGACTAGGGTAGATGTATTTAAAGAATAACTTTTCCCCCTTAAAATCTCAATATTTCACATCCTGTTAGACTTCTTGAGTATTAAATACATCTTCTATCCTTGGTCTTTCTGCATTTAGCTTTTTTGGGAAGTATGTTTTTACCCACAGCATATGGTATGAGCTGCTGATTCAGTATTGAGTGGCTCTTTAAGCTTGTTGGTTACATTCTGCTGATTAAAATGGTGTGCAGAATAGTCAGGAGAAACCAGTCCCTGGTCTGAAATAAACAATGTTAATTAGCTTATGGGGAAGAACAAATGAGTAAAGAGAATTTTCATATACAAAGGAAATCTCTATTGTCTTTCTGGACTCAATGTGTTTGGGTTAAGGAGATGCAGTGCTGCTGGAGAAAATGATGGAAGTGTCCAGAATGTTACATGTAGTTTTATACTGAAACTGAAAGTGCAAGCCCAATTTAATAGTTTTCTGCCTGATGCTGCCCTCTCTTCACACCCACACCACTTATCTTGATTGATAGAGCTACTGCTTCCTCTTCATTCTGCTTCAGCACTTACCTCTGTGGTGCAGTGCTAGGATATCACAGAGGAAATAATTCCTTGTAGACAGTGTCTTTTTGCTAGGAGTCATTAGTGCCTCTTGTTCTCTCTAAGGAAGATAACGGGAAGCCCTTGCCTTGCATTTGCTACAGCCGTTTCCTCGACCTCCCTGGAAGAACAGTATTTCTTGGTGTCAGACGGCATTCAGAACATGCTCAAATTCAGTGTATGTCAGTATGCATTTGCTTTGGTTTGTGGTTGTCCAAATCCAAGTGCCATGTCTCTGGTCCAGTCATGGGAATTCAGCAGTGGGGTGAACCATATGGAGATAGCAGGTGTTGGGCAGCCCTGACTGGACTGCCCTGGTCTTATTTCTGGACTTGTGAGAAGATCACACTGTTGCTTGCTTCCCTGGGTTCACCTCAAAGAGGGAAAGAAAAATTAGAAACTTAAATGGTTAAATTTAGAAACAAATAGTTCTGTCAGTGGGCAACTGCTTAACATCTAACAAAAAAACAACAGCATTGAAATCCTTTATGTTCAGAATCAACCAGTAAACACAACCATAGCAATTAACCTATCATTATCATGATTGTTTATTTTCTGGAATTTTGTTGACAAAGTTATAATTAGTCTGATAAATGTTATGAATAATAAATTTTATAAATAGAGCTGTGTTAAAGCCAAATTAAGTATAATTAAATCTAAGACAATGCAACTGTTTAAGGTTCACCCACTGACCTGCAATTTTATTTATTTATTTTGGAAATGGAGTAACTGTTGCCCAAGCTGGAGTGCAGTGGCAGGATCTCAGTTCACTGCAACCTCCACCTCCGGGGTTCAAGTGATTCTCCTGCCTTAGCCCCCTAGTAGCTGAGACTACAGGTGCATGCCACTACACCTGGCTAATTTTTGTAATTTTAGTAGAGACAGTTTCATCATGTTGGCCAGGCTGGTCTTGAACTCCTGACCTCAAGTGATCCACCTAACCATAGCCTTCCAAAGTGCTGGGATTGAGGCGTGAGCCACCGTGCCCGGCCTGACCTGCAATTTTAATATGCCTTGTCCATCCAGCAAGGTATATTTTCATTTTTTTCCACATAATGCTTAAGACTTAATATTGATTTTCAATTCTAATGTGTTTCATTGCTAAACATCAGGCTTAGCCAAATCAATCATGAAAATGATCCATGTTGAATCTTTAACATCACAATGTGGATTAACAATTTGACAACATTAAATACTTTGTCATTATCTGAAAAGTGCAGAATACCGTGCTTGACTCCCCAAAGGCTCCTTCTCTTAATCCTGAAAGGCAGTTGCTTTTATTATCTACATTGAGGAAACCTAGTTACAGAGGTTTAGTAACTTGCCCGTGTCACATAGCCAGTAAGTTGCAGAGCTGGGATTTGAACCCCAGTACCCTATCTCCAATGAATCTGGGTGTACATATGATAAATTTAATCTTTCTCAATTAAGTATTAAGTGTCAAAGCAAGTGTTGTGTGCAATACACCAGGAGTTAAGAAAAACAGAGTGTGGTACAGATGTAAAATATTTCTAATTCTGTTGTGGATGCTGGCACTCCCATGGAAGGCTTGCCACAGACACAGCCAGAGGCATCCACCTGGGGCCCTGCTGCCCACCTGGTTGACCAAGGCTACTCTCTTGGGGTTTGTTCACACAAAGAAGAGTGAGCAGCTAGAAAGCTGCATCTTTTTGGAAGCTGACTAGTCACCAAATGCTGGCATCCAACTAAGTGATTGCATTGTACCTTGTTTGGATGAAAGATTGTGTTCAAATGAAAAGAGAGATAATCAGCCGGAAGTGTGGCAAATGAGGAGTTAGAATAAAACGTCAGCAGTGTTTGAAGCAGGTTGCTAAGGGCTAGTGCCCTGAAATCCAGTCACTTGGAGGATGTGTATGTTCCATCAGGGGCCAGTAATGTTTTATCAAAGCTCTGGGGAATAACCCTGGAGAGTCTGTTTGTTACCGTGCTCTTAAGTATGCATTGATGGAATAAACTTTGGATGACTAAGGCTTATAGGCCTGAATGTGCAATTGAGTTCAAGTGAGCAGCATTGTGGTGTATTGGGAAGACTGCTTGGCTCAGATTCTAATCTTTGCTTTCCCACCTAGCTGTGTGACTTTAAACGTCACTATTCTTCCTCCTGCCTCCCTTCTGTAACTTAAGGGGGTTAGATTATTAGGGTTCTCAAATGCTGTACCTTCAAGGCCAGGCAGGTGCAGGATGCAGAGAATAATAGATTAAGGGGAACACCTCAATGTAAAATCATTCACAAATTTAAAAACATCACAGACCAAACAAATATGTCTTTAAATCTGAATTTGGTCAAGGGTCACAAGTTTGTGCCCTTTGGGGTGCTCTCTAATATTTTCATGATGATATGAAAATTTTTCATACATCTATAAAGGAGCTCACGCCTCTGCTGCAATCAGTCTGTCCGCATCCAAATAGCTACCCCATGTTGGTCTCCACTTCTTCCCTCCCTCTTTAAGTCCCATGTTAATCTAGCTCATAATTCTCTAATCAGCAGTAAAGCATTTTGCTACTTTACTTTTTATTGTTAGCTGTGATCTTAGCAGCCCAAGTATGCTAAGTCTTAGAAATATTCATCAATGATGTTTTTCCCTGAAGCTCGTTTTGTGACCACTAAACTAGAATCAGAATTGGAGAAAAAGAACCCCACGAATACCAAGCCGACAAAGCCAGGGAGGAGCCATTGAGCAACATGTGGTTGCCTGAGAAAGAAAAGGCAAGGCGGCTGGATGAAAGCAACACTTCAGCTTAATGAACATAAGTCTAGGTTTTGGGGAGAGTCTGTCTTAGAGTAAACAAAGTAGGCTGCATCTTTCAGAATAACTTTTTTTTTTTTTTTTGAGACAGAGTCTTGCTCTGTTGCCCAGGTTGGAGTGCAGTGGCATGATCTCAACTCACTGCAACCTCCATCTCCCAGGTTCAAGCAATTCTCCTGCCTCAGCCTCCCAAGTAGCTGGGATTACAGGCGCCTACCACTACGCCCGGCTAATATTTGTAGTTTCAGTAGAGAAGGAGTTTTACCATGTTGGCCAGGCTGGTCTGGAACTCCAGACCTCAGGTGATCTGCCCACCTTGGCCTCCCAAAGTGCTGGGATTACAGGCGTGAGAGCCACTGTGCCTGGCCCCAAATAACTTTCAAGATCGAATAATAGTAGCTTGAAGCAAGTCTAGAAACCAGCCAGCTGGAGGACAGGGCCACCAGGAAGGAGGTATGCAAGGAAAAAACTGGAATGAATGGACCTGCTGTGTATGAGGGTACTGAGAGGAGTTTGGGGTTGAATTAATAGTAACTACAAAACATCTACATAGCAATTGATAAGAAAGGGTGGGGGGACTATTAGGCCTGGTAATATCAACCTTTTTTTTTTTCCTGAAGAGTAAATGTCATGGTAGTATACTGCCCATCTCAATTGTAAATTTGATTTGATTTGATTGAAGATGGAGTTTCAGCCGGGTGCGGTGGCTCAAGCCTGTAATCCCAGCACTTTGGGAGGCTGAGGCGGGTGGATCATGAGGTCAAGATATCGAGACCATCCTGGTCAACATGGTGAAACCCCGTCTCTACTAAAGATACAAAAAATTAGCTGGGCATGGTGGCACGTGCCTGTAATCCCAGCTACTCAGGCAGGAGAATTGCCTGAACCAGGAGGCAGAGGTTGCAGTGAGCGAAGATCGCGCCATTGCACTCCAGCCTGGGTAACAGCGAAATTCTGTCTCAAAAAAAAAAAGATGGAGTTTCACACTGTCACCCAGGCTGAAGTGCAATGACATGATCTTGGCTCACTGCAACCTCCACCTTCTGGGTTCAAGCAGTTCTTCCTCAGCTGCCCGAGTAGCTGGGATTATAGATAGGCACCTGCCACCACACCTGGCTAATTTTTTGTATTTTTAGTAGAGAAGGGGATTCACTATGTTGGCCATGCTGATCTTGAACTCCTGACCTCATGATCCACCCACCTCAGCCTCGCAAAGTGCTGGGATTACAGGTGTGAGACACTGCACCTGGCCAATTGTAAATTTTACTCATTTACTTATATTAACTAAAAACCAACAAGTGATTTAAGAAAAATAATAAAATAACTGTACTCAGGTGTGGTGGCTCATGCCTGTAATCCCAGCTACTCAGGAGGCTAAGATGAGAGGATTTCTGGGACCAGGAGTTCAAGACCAGCCTAGGCAACATAGCGACACCGCACCCCCATCTCTAAAAAAATTTTTTTAAAAATAATTGGGCATGGTGGCACATACCTGTAGTCCTAGCTACTTGGGACGCTCAGGTAGGGAGGCTTGCTTGAGCTCAAGAGTTAAGGCTACAGCGAGCTGTGATCACTGCACTCCAGCCTGGGCGACAGAGCAAGACCCTGACTCTAAAAAATAAAAATTATATTGGGATAAGGGAAGGGTATAAATCTGCTGCTCTTTCTGTAAGATAATGTCAAAAATTGGAAAATAGTGGTAAAAGTGTGTTATTTAAAAATATAGAGGTAAGTGATAGAGGATTCCAAAAGTAGCTACCTCTGGGACATTGAACAGGGCAGCGATGAGGAGGGAGCTGCCTCCCTTTTCATCACAAGTCTCATGATGATCCTATTTGATTTTTTTAAAGATTTGTGTTCATAAAAATCAATACTGAAAGTGAATACGGTAGAAAAAACTGTCTAAAAGTATATTTAAACAGTGACATTCACTTCGCACATTGACACCTTAAGAAAAATCCAACGTAATGTCATACTCTTACCCCAAATAAATTGCATTATAATGTAAGGTGATTCTCTTGGGAAGAATCTAAACTGACAGGATCTGTCTTAAGGAGTACTTATGATCACAAAGTACCTTCAGGCACCCTTTAAATTGTGATTAAAGATAATTTAACGTTTAAAAAATAGATCTATGCCTAAGTCTGGGGAACTGTGGAGGGGAAATGAAGAGTGACTATTAAGCTTTCTTTGAGGGATGATAAAAATGTTCTAAAATTAAGTTGTGATAATTGCAAAACTATAAATATGTTAGAAACCACTGAATTGCACATTTAAGTGAGCAAACTATTGTGGCATACAAATTATATCCCAGTAAAGCTGTTTAAAAAATAATAGCATAAATAAAATGTAATAATAGCCAACATTCAACAATCTCTAAGGTGGATACTATTATCCCATTTTATACATGAAACCAGGGTACAGAGGAGCTAAGCGACTTTCTTAAGACCATCAGACATGAATAGATTAGAAATTAACTTTCTTTCATGTAAAAGAAGTCTGGAGGTAGGCTGTCTAGGGCTGGTAAGTTGGCTCCACGATTATGCAGCAGAGACCCTGGAACATTTGAGTTGGTTTCTCCACTGTGTGTGGCTTCTTTCAAGGTCACTTCATGGCCCAAGATGACTGCCAGGGCTCCAACCAATGCATCCACATTTTAGGCAGCAGGAAGGATGAGAGTGCAAGGATGCTCGTCCCACCTATAAAGAAACACAAATTCAGTGTTTCCACTTGCATCTTCCATGGAAGAAGTGAGTCACATGTCTACACTGTTGAAGCCTAGGAAATGGAGTCTTCACGTCCAAAACTCATTCTGAAAAGCATTCACATTTTGCAAATGGCAAGGAGTTTCCAGTTTGGTGCTTGGTAAATGCTTTGGGATGATGATGTCTCTTCCGCCCACCATCTTCACAGCCTCACCTAGGCTTTCATATTTATTTCTGCTCAAAGCATCATTTGGTTCTTCCTTCTCTTTCTCTCATACTTTTTTTGGACTCCACTCTATTCTGTAATCACTGTTTCCACTGAATCCAACTAAACACTCAGTACCTTGTCTGTCTCATTCACAGTGCTAGGCACAGTGCTAGGCTCTCAGGAAACACTCATGCCCAGAGTGTGGGCTCCTTGGGGGATGGAGATTATCAACACCCTTGAGGAGGGACTCTGGGGGAGCCAAATGTGCATGCTTTCCTCCTCTGTGTAATGAATGGTAGCGGAGCACTCGAATGTTGGCATGGCTGGAACAAAACGCCCCTCCCGAGGATGGGGTAGAGCCAGAGTGCAGGGCCGTCTCCCAGCTGGCTGGAGGCAGAGCTGTCCTGGAGCCCAGCCTCCTGACCCTCAGGCATCTCCTCTCACCCGGAGCTTCCCAGTCAAACACTGATTTCCAGGCAGAGCCTCATCACACAATGTTATTAAGTAAAATAGGAACGGATAATAAATTTTTATGTATGCAGAAATTGTTTCTCTCCTCCCCTCCTCTTGGGGTTGATTAACTTAGCTGGAAGTAATGAACCTGAACTGATTTTTTGAGCACCAGATCTAAATGGTAATTACTGAATTGGTACCTTGCTTATAGACTTTGGGAAGACTGTAATACCTACTAAGAGAATCCTTTTCTTTCCTGCACTCCCACCAGTTTCTCCCTTGGCGTGAGAACCGACAAGCCAGAACATAAATGAGCTGGAGGAGAGAGCCCTTTCTTTTTTTCTAGGAGTTATGTCATATTTCTAAAGGGCAGTGCTGTAAGTACTCTGCTCCCTTCAGAGAAGAAGTTGTGGTTCAAGGACCCCTCACTGAGAGCAATGCCAGGGAAAGAATGGCCGGCTCAAGACTTCCATGGACAGTCACTGGCCAAACTCCTTCCTTCCAAGAATCTTGTTGACAGAGGTCCCAGGGTCATCTCATGGGGCTTTCTGAGGCCAGTACCTCTTTCTTCTGACTGTCCTCAGTAGAGTAGACATCTGTGGCTCTTTTAATGAAATTCTCTCTCTGACCTGCTTGGACTCCATCCACATCTGTCTCTGGGTTCCTCCTTTAATGAAGGAGACCCTTGTTTGTCCTCAACTGGCCTCTCCCGGGGTTCAAACGCAGCCCTTCCTTGAAGTCTCTCCGGGGTACATGAGCAACTCTACCTGCATGGTTTCCGGTACTTGGTCAGCCCAGCATCATAATCTCCTCTGCAGCTAGTCCCATGATGATTCCTGCCCAGAGTCTGTGGTTACCAGAGGTTTCAGGTGATGGTTCAGAGAGGGCACCATTTCCTGGGAGCCTTGGGGACTTGGCCATTCATTGGCTTTAAGACATTCTCTTGGACTGGGTGTGGTGGCTTACCCCTGTAATCCCAGCACTTTGGGAGGTCGAGGCAGGCAGATCACCTGAGGTCAGGAGTTTGAGACCAGCCTGACCAACATGGAGAAACTCCATCTCTACTAAAAATACCAAATTAGCCAGGCGTGGTGGCACATGCCTGTAATGCCAGCTACTCGGGAGGCTGAGGCAGGAGAATCACTTGAACCTGGGAGGCAGAGGTTGCAGTGAGCTGAGATCGCGCCATTGCTCTCCAGCCTGGGCAACAAGAGTGAAACTCTGTCTCAAAAAAAAAGTTCTCTTGTATATCCTACCTGGGTCCTGGAAGCCCAGTAGCTAAGTGAGGAGAGGCACAACCTCTCCTGGCCTGAAGCTGAGTTTCTTCCATTCCACATGCAGGTCTTCCTCTCCCTGTCGACTTCCAGATTTCAGCTGCCCTATCCCCATATTCGCCCCAGTGATCCAGGCAGCCAGAGGTCCAAGTTCTGTGACAGCACCCTCAATACTTGCAATATGCTGACATCAGTCCTTCCCAGCCTGGGCCATTCACCGCAGCAATTTGATCTTCCAGTTATACCCCTGCCCAGCTTCGTCCTGACTGGTAGCTCTGTTTGTCCTGCTCTCCTCATATCCTGGCTTCAGCCTTTCCCCCTGCCTGCTGCTGGCCAGCCCGGCTTCAACAGCCAGAGCACCAGCTCCTGCACAGGTTGAGGCTCAAGCTGTGGCAGGGCCCTTCCCTGAGGTGTCTTCATCTCATGTAGCTGTGACAGTGCTTGAATGATCCGGGCTGGGAGGGGCTTCAAACAACTGTATCAAGTTCAAACCTCACATTTAAATGTGAGGAAACCATGGACCCAAGGCCACACAGGTGGGGTGTGGTGGCCATTGCCAGGAGAGGAGGGGTGAGAAATTGTGTGCCCCATCCCCAAGTGTCTGTGGACTGGATGACCACCACTTGGCCTTCCACAAACTCAGAGCCACTTTGACAGTGAGGAGATACCCGATGCCCATTTGTTCACCATCCTCTCCCTGTCTTTGCTGGTTGCTGCTACTATCAGTCACATGACCCATTGTCCTGGCCACAGAAGTGGGCCAAGCTTTAGATTCTGGGAACGAGAGGCTCTCCTTCCCCCATGATTAATGAGCTTGTATGCTGCTGTGGCCGTTTGTGAGCATACCCCACCTCCACCTCTTCTCATCCTCCTGTACTCCACCTAGCCATCCGAGGGAACCGATCAGCAGCGGGAAAGAATGAGATCGACATAGAAGAACTACTCCATGTTGATGGGGAAAGGTACAATGTGGAGCAAAAGTGAGCTGAGCACATTATTGGAGTCCTTGGGCTAGGTCAGGTAGTCTCTAGGTCACCAAGGCAATCAATTCCCTTTTGGCTTAAGCTGTTCTCTTATTCTCCCCTACCAACTGGTTATCCAACAATGCAAACCAGTACTGACAATAACTGTCCAGACTGCAGAGTTTAAGGGCTTGGTCCCACAAGCCTGTCCACATTTCAGACATGAGCTGCAAAGAAGGTACCTAGGCTGCCTACATTTCTGCCCAATTGTCTATAAATTTGAGGGTTCCCACCCACCCTCCTCATGTTTTATAATTTGCTAGAACAACTCACTGAGCTCAGGAAAGCACTTTACTTAGTATTATTAGTTTATTATAAACGCTAAAACTCAGAAACAGCCAAATGGGAGAGTTGCATAGGGCAAGGTATGGGGGTGGGAGTAGGGGTGGCTCAGAGCTACCATGCCTTCTTAGGATACATCACCTTCCCAGCACCTTGACATACTCAGCAAACTGTAAGCTCCCTGAACCCCTGAATCTCTTTGTTTAGGATTTTTTTTTTTTTTTTTTGGCACTTCCATTAAGCAGGCGTGATTGAGGAAATCACTGGCCATTGGTGATTGAACTCAGTCCCCAGGCTAGGTGTGGTGGCTCATACGTGTAATCCCAGAACTTTGGGAGGCTAAGGCAGGAGGATTGCTTGAGGCCAGGAGTTTGAGACCAGCCTAGCCAACATAGCAAGACCAAATCTTGACAAAAAAGAAAAAAAAATTAACCAGGCATGGTGATGCATACCTGTGGTCTCAGCTACCTGGGAGGCTGAGGTGCGAGGAGCCCAGGAGGTTGAGGCTGCAGTGAGCTCTGACTGTGCTACTGCATTCCAACCTGGGTGACAGAGTGAGACCCTGTCTCAAAAACAAAAACAAAACAAAAAAGCTCTCCAGCTTCTCTTCTCTCTCGTGAGATTGGGGGTGGGGCTGACAGTTCCAACCCTCCACACATGGGGTTGGTTCCTTTGGCTACCAAGCCCCGTCCTAACACTGTCTAAGGTCACCTCATTAGCATAAACTCAAGTATAGTTGAAAGGGGCTCTTTATAAATAACAAAAAACACTGCCATCATTCAGGAAATTCTCACAGAGCTCTGTGCCAGGAAATGGAGACAAACACCAAATAAATTTTGTATTATGTTAGAAGTACTCTGAGTGCAGTTTCTGTTGCTTGTGACCAAAGGGTCCCTGATGGTTCAGCACTGACTGGGCCAGAATGAAAACCCATGACAACAAACTCCTAATGGGCCTGATGTTCTGTGAACTACTTAGAATCTAAATGCATCAAAGCTGCCACTGTTGAAGGCAACTCTAATTGTTTAGTGGCCTCATGCAGGCCATAAATGTAGCCTTGCACATGTGGATTTGATTGAAGTGAGTTTCTATCAGTAACAGGCAACTACGCCTCTTTCATAGGTTGTTGCTTCAAAGAGAAGAATAACCACTTCTATGCTGTTTTATGTGTACAGGGTCCAGCATGGCTGCTCAGGTAGAATGAAATAAATTCACACAAGGGTCCCTGCTCTGCCTCCGCACCGCAGACCCTTAACGTCATTTTCTTTAGAAAAAGGGTAACAATCGACTTCAGACCCTTAACCTCTCATCTATTTGTAGAAGGAGGGTAACCATCAAATCTATGTAATTTACCTATCTATCTACTAATAATCAGAACTCTTTTGCTTTCAGGTGAGAGAAATTCAACCCATACCACCTTATGCCCTAAGAACTATCTGGGGTTAGCGGTGTTGATCCTAGGCCCAGCTGGGTTCTGAAACTAGAGGGGGGCATGTGGCCTCATCCTCCCTCACTCCCTCTCTCATCCTGAGTGTCATCTTTATCTTTGGATTCCTTCATGTGACAGGGGACACGGCCCCTGACAGCAACAGGGTCAGTTCCTTACAGTATTTTCTTTTTTTATTTTGAGATGGAGTCTCACACTCGCCCAGGCTGGAGTGCAATAGTGTGATCTCGGCTCACTGCAACCTCCACCTCCCAGGTTCATGTGATTCTCCTGCCTCAGCCTCCCAAGTAGATGGGATTACAGTTGCCTGCCACCATGCCTGGCTAATTTTTTTTTTTGAGACAGAGTCTCGCTCTGTCACCTAGGCTGGAGAGCAGTAGCGCAATCTTGGCTCACTGTA